CACTCTTACTTTATTTAGGAGGCAGACACCGACTTAAACTTGGGCATTTGCCTTCTGTGGTATAACCACCTTGGCCTTAGGCTTATAACGAACTTGAAGTTAAATTCTTATCTATATGTATAATTAATCATGCCTTGATTGAAGAACCTAGTTCTTCTTAATGTTAAATTCATGAATGCTTCGGAGTCTGCCTCTCCTTCTACTATCATAATTTTCCCTGTATATGGCCTCTTATTTGCCTCTTAAAATTGTCTACCGCTTAGTCGCAAAAGATTTTAAGGTGGGTTCAAGAGGTTGTTATAAACTTGCGAAACTATGCTATATAAATTGAACATTGCTCAAGATCATTGTTACTCGCTTGTTTACATGCGTTTCTCACTATATGGTATCTTTCTTCCCATAGAATAACCATTAATTACTCTGGTGGTGTCGGTCTGCATCCTTTTTTTGGCTCGAGACCACAACAACTTAACTATATTTTCGCTACTTACCTGTTTCTGAGGTGTGTGGTTAATTGCATCATTATTTGTTGAGTGTCTATTATTGAAATATCTGACAACCATATAAATTGACTCTCAATAGCTAGAATCTAAAGACTTTGTTAATTTACTTTACAGTTATGTTGGGTTGAGTATTCGTCTGTTACGACGAACCAGTACCAAGTCGACTAAGCTGTTTGACCTTGTTTACGGACCGATTGTCAACAGGCTTCACTAGAATCTGGGACAACTGGATCTGAGAATTCGTTCGCTAAATAAAATTTCTTCTTGGAAAACGTTTGTTTCTAAACCTAGCAAGAGTGGAAGAAGTTTTAACTTTGTAAGTTGGACATTTCCATTATTCAGAAAAGGCTATAAACTGAAACTGTGTGTTAAGAAAAAAGTTATGATGGAAAATACTTATTTGTCCCTGGGTCCCCGCTCTTCTCCATAGGACTAAAACTTTTAATTGATAAGCAATCCTAGGGCTTAAGCATACCATAATAACGCCCTTGGCAGTAGCTTCTAAACGGTCATTCTGCAAAATTGCACGATTTAAATGCAGACCTAAAGGATTTCACTTGTACTTACTTCCAATTTATTTCAATTGATCGTTTGAGAAATCGCAACGTAATTTGTAATTTTTGTTCCGATGGCTTAAAAATTAGTCCGGAAAAAGAAATTGATGATGACACATGTGTTTATTTTCCATTTATTGTTCCTAACCGAATTTGTTTTTTCTGTTTTAAATGTAAAATTTACATTCTATCTTCGGGTGATATTTTGTAAACAATAGGTTCTTGTTGCATTGAAGTCTATTTATATATAGTCATGTTCTACAAAAGATTCATTTTCAAGTCATCTACAAGCAACTGATGTTTGTGAAAGAAATCCCATTCTTTCTGAATGCAAGAATTAATTATGGATGTCGTGAATATAGCCAGGGTCCATTCTTCTTTGGTGAAGGAGGCAACATCAAAAATGTTTGCCACACGCTCAGATACACTAGGATATTCATCATTCACGACAGAAGAGCATTTCCCCATTATATTATACGCAAATTTTATTATTATTATTCCTTCTCTATACCACTTGCCCAGTACACGTGCAAATGGTGTAGGTACGGACATTCATTTTCGCTGGATAAGCAGTATTAATATTTAGAGGGCTGGTAATGTCTCGGAATGACATAGAAAACGGCAAGTGAGTCTTAAAAAGACTATCGCTATTAAAACAAAAACTTGACTCAATAAAGTAGCTCATTCATACCCACTCATTTTTCTCAGTGATGCTCGCAAGCAAACCAGTCAAGGGGAACAAGTTTTTACCACGCCGATCTCTGAATACCTTGGAAGAACGGGGTCAGTAAGTACACGGTAGGTGCACATATTACGGTACAATGTTCATGGGCTAAAATATACTCTTTATTCCATAAGAAATTGAATGAATGTGAATGATTTTTGTGTCAAATTTTTTAACGATCTGCTGGATTTGTTCAAAATCAACTGTTGTTAACTAGGCATGAAGATGAAGTTTCGTGAATATATTTTCAACCATTTTGAATTGAAACCTGAATATGATGGACGTTTTCAGAAAGTGAAATGCTACTCATTTATTAACGATTTGTACAGTGTAAATCAGCCATCGATGTTGCGCTCACTTATGCGCCACGCTGTTGTCAGTTTAATCCTTTAAAGTTTGTAATATACGCCTATCTTTGTGTCCAGCTTTTCTGCTGTAATTATCGTTAGCTCGTAACCTTATTATTGCTTATTAGAGTTACTGCTTTTATTGCATACGAAGCTGATACAGGCGCCAATAGGATTCTATGGGGCTCTGTTTTATAAGTTTTTTTTTGTCGTGTTCTGTTTTCATGCACGGAAAAAATACAACGATTTTTTACAATTAAGTTTTCCATTAAACTTGGATGGATGAATTACGATCTCGCCTCTTCAAAAAATTTTAGGCGCTGTATCAAAATATTATTCTTTGGACATGTCGTGATTCATGATATAGCTTGATACATTTTAAAAGGATTCTGGCGGATATTTTTTGCTGGTTGAATAACTATAATTCTTCGTGAGACTACGATTAATGAGTGGTGTGTGATTTTCCGAGATTTATTCAATTCGAAGTCAGGATTGCGCTATCATTTCGGTCTGTCCATGAGATCGCCCTCAAGCTCCAAGCTTTCACAATGTTGAACACACGTTTGCTTAGCAGGAGCAGATTTCCACAGCTCTACACACACAGCGGTAATTCGGATTCATGAACGAGAACCAATGTCACTGCGAATATTCGTTTTGGTGAAAAAGTCAATTACGACATAAACAAAATATTTTCGAATTTGTTTATTATTTTCACTTTATCTTTGAATGTGAGTGGAAAAATTGTATAAATAGCACGATTCAGCTGATGTGTGAAAGTTTTGCAAGCAAAAACACAGCGCGCGCAAGAACTCGTTTCTTGGCACACAAATAAGGCAAACAAGGCCGCGATCGCTGCGCTCTGGACACTTGCAAGCAAGCAGCGCTACCTCTTCCTGTGCGCCGCTCTTGGGCCACTTAATTCAGCCATGGCAGTGTTAATACCATTTGATTAAGTATTCTGTTTGTGTTCTTACCGTTTCATTTACTGTTGCCTTAGTTATTGTGCTAGTAGACAAAATAGTAAGGAAACTAAGTAGTACCTATGAACTGCGTATTTTCAGGACTTTGGAAGCACGAACTGGGAACTGCCATGATTGCGAATGCATTTGAATGCTTTGCATAGAAGTTTCGGATGTAATTCGAAACTGGTAAAGAAAATTTACTTTTTGATTGGGGACTTAGAAAATTGGGGAAATTGGAAGTTTATACAATACGATTTATACGATTTTATGCCAAAAAGTTCAACATATTCCACAATCGAATTCAACAAAATATTTAATGACCGTCAGTTTTTATTCCCACATACGCCAAAAGCCTAATATACAAGTGTTCCCTTTGTAATCATTGGGCAGAATAATGGTTCGATTATAATTATTAAACGGGAAATAAACAGTCTCGGTTTGTTCCTATATTCAATTTGAATGTAAATATTCAAAATGAATACAATATTCCTTAATTGCCTTTTTCGTGAATATCTATTGAAGTTTAGCCTTCGTCTTGGCAGGAATTTGGTGGATAGTTTTAATGAGTCTGACGGAGTATATAAATCTATCAAATAAGTTTAGATCTGAGTCTTGAAATTAATTCAAAATTTTTACCATTGATACATTTGTTAAGATCTAGACTTCCTTGTACACTTTGATACCATTTTATTTTTTGGTCACTAATTCAATTTTCCTCCATATATAGTTATTTTGTCTCCTGAAATTTTGCTTCATCTCTATAATTAGGTATTAAAAATGCAAAACCTCTTCATACTCGTCACTCAAGCGGCGTTCGTCATCGTTTACGCCATCGGTATTTGCTGCTTTTATCTCAGCCATCCGAAGGCCTTCCCTACACACGGCGCTGTTGAGCAAACGTCCGTTTACTACCCCATCAAATCCCCGTTACTGCTCAATGCCGTGAGTCATGCCCCATCAAATCCCCGTAGCTGCTCAATGCCGTGAGTCATGCCCCATCAAATCCCCGTTACTGCTCAATGCCGTGAGTCATGCCCCATCAAATCCCCGTTACTGCTCAATGCCGTGAGTCATGCCCCATCAAATCCCCGTTGTTGCTCAATGCCGTGAGTCATGCCCCATCAAATCCCCGTTGTTGCTCACTGCCGTGAGTCATGCCCCATCAAATCCCCGTTGCTGCTCAATGCCGTGAGTCATGCCCCATCAAATCCCCGTTGCTACTCAATGCCGTTTGTCATAACCCAATCAAATCCCCACCTCGTGTCATTAATCCCACCGCGTTAAATCCCCACCTCCTCTAAGCCCCACCGCATGTCATTAATGATTTATTTTTCCATAGCTGGTGTCACGAAACATCGAAACCAGATCTAATAGGCAAACCTTTACACCGTCAATAATTAATCATATCTCACCATTATGATGGCAACGAATGTTCCTGGCAAGGAAGCTTAATAGTATGCAATTAAAGTCAAAACTATTTGAGCTCCTGGAAAAATAGTTAATAAAATAATTGAAACGATAATTAATTAATATGATTTTTGATTTACATGCAAATGCGATCGATGAATTCTAATGCATGAATCGAGATGCGGTGAGGAAGTTATATGGCACGAAAGTGATTGTTATTTTCATTAAATATAAAATTCAGAAATAACACGTGTATTGTGATTTTATTCAATTGCTGTTGAAAAATCCAAAACGAAACTAATTAGATTTTTTGCGTCAACATTTGCAGAACATTTTGCGTGCAACATTGACAGGTGTTGCACCTGAGTTACCTGACGACGCGTCTGCTGCGCAACTGCAAAATCACTTCAGGAACTTTGCTGCGGTGCATCTGCATGAGGCTACTTTAATTGTAATTATTGCGTGCAACATTGACAGGTGTTGCACCTGAGTTACCTACTGCAACATCACTTCAGGAACTTTGCTGCGGTGTGTTCCCTCACACGAGCTGCTCAGTAAAGTCTTCACATTAATAGTCTTCCCCTCAGCGCTGGTGAGCAAAACTGAACAATTTCTGTGCTTAGGCAACAAAATAAAAAATCGTTGCTTATTGTTTTGTTGCTCAATTTTTGACTTGAATCTCAAGCTCAGCACTGATCTTGATTTTAAATCAATTTCATGGTTTATACTTTAGCAACAATCCATGCATGGACACCTGTTTCCAGTGAAATTCAACATTTTGTCCACAATTTAGCCCCTGCTTTATTATTACAGTTAAGGTTCATCAGAGGTTACTTTTTGGAATTCTCTTTTCTGAATACCGTTGTGCAAGAATAGTAGATGTTGAATATGGAAGCCCATTAATACTTTAATCCAATACATACCGGTTTAACAAAGCTCACACCTGAAACGATACGGGGTAGTGACAATTTTTCCCATTTGTTATTCAATATCTATTTGCTATATAATATCTATTATCATCTATCAGGCCTCGGCTGACAAGACGCTTGAAGGCAAGTATCATCTCAATTATAAAATATGAATTACTAAATACTAAATGTCCGTTCGCTGGATTGAACCTAAATCACAATTTTTATCACATAAAAATCCGTTTTATTTTAGTTAACAGCTGGAATAACGAAAGTCAAATCTTGTCATTTAAACAATCAGCACTGCCAAAATGTTGCTGCACTACATACCGACTAGCATAATGGGCAGAAAGATGAATAAGATATGTAGATTGAAATAGATTGAAAATCACCCACTGAAATTAATGTCCAAACTAGTGCAGAGAAACTTTCGTCTACTTTAACTAGCTAAGTTTTTTATACCAAATTTATGCATTAATCAAGAGAGTCGAATGAGATTAAGCTGATATTTAAACGCCGCATTAACATATCTTCACAGAAAACTTATCGGAATCCAGCTCGATCATCGTCGGTTCCAAAATTCTAGAACGAAGATACAATAAATTTATTTCGATTCAAGGGTTATTGGATTCGAACAACATTACACCGAGGCATTCGTATTGCTTCGACTTACCATGCTATATACACACGAATTTTAATTTTTTGCGCGATGTGTTCTCGCTTGAAAATTTCAAGCGATTCACAAGAAAACGTGCTGCGTAACATCCCAATATCTGATAGTGGCTTCACGGTTTCAGTTTCCACTTACGGTGTTTCATATTAGCGCATTAGAGAATAATTGTACAGGGGTTAGACAAAATAAAGGAAACACTTCAAAAATTCACAAATTATATATCAGGATGTTGTAGGTCCGACTTTTGCTGTAATTACTGCCTCAATTCTCGGAGGAATTAATTCATACAAATTGTGAATTGTTTTCAAATGAGTTTTAACCCTTTTTTAAATTAAAACTCCCTCCCGCGCTTTATGAAGACGACGGCGGCGGGAATCAACTTCTGAGTTGCATCTTTAAAATCAAATATGAATGCTCGATATTATCCAGGCCTGGTGAATGTAGTGGCCAAATTGCAACTTCATCAGAATTTTCCTCGTGCCATTTTTTAACAATTCCAGTAGAAAGGATAGGGCCATTATCATCTTGAAAGATGGCATTCACCTCCGGAAAGAGTGCTTGAACCATTGGATAAACTTCGGCTTCAAAAATTCCTAAATAGTCACTGCTGTTGATTCTTCCATGAAGAGAAATCAATGATCCCGCCGGATTTGCGAGAAAAAGCATCCCAGATCAATTCAGGTCCCCTGCCATGTTTTACGGTGTGGAGGAGGCAGTCGGAATTAAATACCCTTTTGGCTGTCTCTAAACGTAAACTCGGTCTGAATTTGAAATAAGTTAAACGAGGGTTCGTCAGAGAAAATCACATTTTTCCACTGTTCGAGGGACCAATTCTGGAGGTTTTTACACCACTCTAAGCGCTTATTTGAAGCATATGTGTTTGAAACCCGAGCTTTTCTAATTATGGCTTTCCCATAGAGTGATCTGTGCAGTTCTCAGTGGACAGTCTTCATGGAAACTGGATTCTGTAGGTGTCCATTGAGGTCTGCAGGAATTTTTACGGCCGTGGTTTTTCGATTGTTCCTCACAATTCGATTTAGGTACCGACGGTCTCTCTCAGACATCTTTGACTTTCGGCCAGACCAGTGCTTTGCTGAGGACATATTTCCTCCTCTTTCAGCAGCAGTCATTACCTGAGACAGTATCGTTAGAAACTTCAAGCATTCGGGAAGTTTCTTTCACTCTAATACCTGCCATACGGGCTCCAACAATTTGACCTCTTTGAAAGTCGGAGAGGTTTGCCATTTATAGGTTATAGATTAGTTTATAGGCACAAAAATTTACTAAAAAATATATTCGCAAAGATAAAATATCGATCGGCAGCTACAAAATCAATGAAACATATAAATATGTCACGTTTTCATTGTTTATAATGTTTAAAAATTGCGATTTCAAAATGTCAGGTGTTTCCCCTTATTTTATTCTACCGCTGCACATTCTTCAAAAGAGACCTAGTTTGAATCCGACTTTTGGCTTTTCTCTGCGTGGAATTGCAAATAGAAAGGTTTAGCCATTTATTTTCATGTATTTGCTTTGCCATTGATTTGTAAATTTAGGTTTTATTTTTTTATTTAGACTGTACTAACTACTAAATGTAAGTGCATTCTAGAATTTTTTAACTGACAATGCAGCTGGACAGAAAAATTTTTCTATGAAGATATGATAAATTTTTATGAAATTTTTCTTTTGAATTTGCGATTCAAGCAAACAAGTGACATTAATGAGATTAAGAATGAGGTGATTGTATAAGTATTCTATTTCAAGTTTTTAAATGTATGTAATCATGTTATTTTTAATCTATTTGTATGAAAAATGTGGATCAAATTTCCTGCGCAGCGTATTTAGAATTCCCATCCGTCTTGCCGCTTGTAAAACCAAATCGCAATTCTCTGCCCAAAAATACTATGTAGAGAGTGATTCTGCAAATGAATTTTTAATTACATTTTTCAATTCCACTTTTAATTACATTGAAAAAAATACAATAAGGTAATCTATGCTTAATAACATAATAAAAAATTATCATATGGTTTATACATTTTTATCTGTATACACATGGTTTTGAATTGACAAGTGCTATTCGAAATCAGTTAAGTTCCAAAAGCTCCCCCATTCCAGTAACTTCCTCATTTGAACTACGATATGTTCATAGCAATTCCTGGTGTAGGTTCATTCCTTTATTAATACGGTAGCGACGTCATCCAGCGAACGGAATATAGTTCTCTGACAGGGCGAGAAGCGTAAATCAGAACCGAGAACTGCCGGGTATATATATATGTTCGTCTCACTCCCTTTCGAGTCGTGAGCGTAATGTGCTAACCTCATATTCCAATCTACTTATAATCCCTTAAACTGTGAGCCGTGTTACTATTTAAATAAGTACTCGATTAATCTTCAGTCTGCGCTTCATTTATCCTCTGATCACGAACTAACCCGGATAGAACCTCAGGTTTTACATATAATCATTATACATATACATATATGAGGTGAGACACATAAGCAACCTCTTCCAATACCGAGTGTTTTCTTTGTCTTCATAGAAAAATTATTGCAGATTTCAACGTAGAGAAGCAATTGCAGTTTATTTTCGTCCAGATTAATCTCTTGAAAGAAAGAATATATGTGCCTTCCAAAAATCGGTCTTCTGAAATAACAATCGCATGTGACGTCTAGGTTGAGTCACAGAACACAAAATTTTTCTATTGAATCACGTTTCCCTTTGTTTTCTTTTTGCTGCTTTTCAGAGCGTGTTTATGCCGTTCTGGGTCATGTATTCGGCTTCTCGCGAAATTATTTACCCTGAAGTTTTTGGGGATGTCGTCTCAGACTTCAAGTTCCACAGCGTCCACACTGTTCCACTAGTGGCAGTGGCAGCTGAGGTGACGCTTTTCCCACGGCCATTTCCTCCAAAGTGGATTGGATTCGTTTCCAGCACTTCCATCTACTGCTTATACCTGGCCTGGTAGGTTTCTGTAAACCTACCTTCCATACTTTTCTTTGCGGTTACAGCTCGTCATTCAATTAATCTCTCAAATATGGCGTATCGATTTACTCAAGAATGTCCAATGCTCTAAAAATTTTGCAAATACCGCTTGTTGAGGGTCCTCGACCACAACTTATTCCATTCTTTTATCTTTAAAAAGTTCCCAATTAAAATCAATGAATCAATTTGCACTGGCAAATGGAACCTCCATGTAAACAAACATATATGTGGACCAATTCAAAAATCAATATATATATATATATGTAATTTCACTATAATTATGGATAGAAGTATACTGTATCTGTAGCTTATTTCTGCTTTATGATTGATTTCAGCGAAAATCTGAACTCGTATAAGTATCTAAATTAGACCCTGCTGATTTGAGCGTTGAGCTATATTGAGATGTAGTTTCTTGTATTTTCTACATCGTTCAACTACAACTGAGTTTGCTTGAACGTCCCAAAAAATATCACCAAAAGTTTTTTGTTGTAGGGGGTAATTGATGGAGGTTTCATTATATTTCATCAGGGCATTTTCACGAACGTCTTGCTGTCAACACTTCTCAATACATGAATTCCAGTTTATGTCCGTTCGACGATTTGCAACGTTTCTGTCGATGACGACGCTCTCCCAATATTGCGTGTATTCATTCTTCCAACTGGTCAACTCAGGAATTAAAGGTGGGTCGCTCACTATAGCATAATATCCTAAATGCAGATCTTTCGAATTTACTAATTTAAGAACAGGCTTTCGTTAATGCATAAACTAGACGTATATGCAAAGAAAAATATCGAGTTTACAGACGATGCCTGCCAGCTATTAACATCACATCAGGATTCATAGTCGCCATGTAACTTTAACTTGTGCTGCTAGAGAACATAACTATAAGGTCGCGATTTTTGAACCTCATGTCAATTTGATCCTTGATTAGGTACTTCGAATGTGATTAGTAGATCAAAACAAAAAACGGATTCAATATTAGTTTTGTATTCTATTTCGAGCTCTGTCGTTACTCGTGTCTAAGAGCCAAAAATTTATCAGTGTACGTTGTATTTCTCATCTACACACATGAGATTCAATGCCGAATGAGAGTTTTCGTAACTGTAATTGTTCACATTATTAGGATCGTACAAACAAGCCAACCGATTACAAAGAACTTAATTCAAATTACCATGAATTATAGCCTAACTTGCGTATTTAGCCTCTGGTTATCTGTTTTATTTGGAATAGACTGCGCTTTTTCCTCACTTGAAGTATATGATGAAATAACTCGAAAAGCTTTCTCAAAACGTATTTCACGGGAAGACCACAAAACCACAATGTAAAAATGAAAAAGTAAGTAAATAAATCTCCTCGCAATCGGAGGCTTACTCAACACAACTGAATAATCTCTTTCTTCGCTTTGCTTCAATGTAGATCGAAAAGGCACGAAAAGGAAAAGAATCGGCGACAGGATACATCAGGCCTACACTTCAGCGCCGAGATCACTATGTTATATGTTATGTTAATGTATAAAATTTGAAGAAAATATAGGCTTCTTACAACATAAAACCTACAATCCTTCATTTGACTACAAATACATCAAGCATTATTTCCCCCGCATGAAACTCTCTCATGAAACAAGCTGCGTTAAAGCTTGCATTATACATTTTTGAACACGGAGAAATAATTACTAAAATATTGTGGTCTTTATAAATTTCATTGAAGAATTGAAGTGTGATCAAAACAAACATTTCAGGTGACACGAAATTTTAATTGGGAAATGTTATTTTCCAGGCCTCAGAAATTTGCTTCACAAAGCCATAGCCTTCAGAAGCACCAGCCTCCATGCAGCGGATATCAACGCCAAGAAAAACTGTTGATGATTACAACTATTCTGCATATTTATTAAGATTTCAGTGGTATTTAGGAAATTGAGTTTAATTGGTCTTCATTTGAGAAAGTATAACCTTATTTTTCTATAACTTTAATTATGCAATGATTCATCATAATTGTTAAGCTGTTTTTCATAGTGAGTTACCACAAGCAGGGTAGCTTTAGCTTCCTCTCCACATTGCGCGATCGAGGTTGCCAGAATAACTGCTTCAAATTAATTAAAGCTAAATTTTTACCATTTTTAATCCATTATAGTGTACCCAATTGAATGTTTACAAGCCGTACGCTTTGCTGGTGCGTTTTAAGCGGTTACAATACAATTTCTATAAAGTCATGTAGTTAATTTCTCACATGAAATTGGGTATTATCATAAGAGGAAAATTCCGGCACGTGACGAGAGTTGCTGTCGCCATACGACAAACCTCGTCAGCTGACAAGGGGTTCTCCATATTTATTTCGTGAAAGTCATAAATATAACAAGAAATGCTAGTTCGCCAAACCGAGTTTTTGCATATATGCTTGAAAATGAAGTTTAGTCTGCATACATTTTAAATTTTATTTGAGGCGTGAAATAATAATTCAGTAAGTAATGTTCAGATATTAGAAATATATTCATAAAATATTCATAAAACGGACACTTCGAGTGCGTGAGGGGACACGTGGTGCAGTTAACCAGGCTGGCGAGATTAGTTGCACACTTCGAGTGCGTGAGGGGACACGTGGTGTAGTGAACCAGGCTGGCGAGATTAGTTGCACATCAGAGACGGACACTTCGAGTGCGTGAGGGGACACGTCTTCTGTGCAATGATATCCACCAAGCTGCCTTCTTCGACAGGAATGGCCTTGGTGTGCGAGTTGTAAAGTTCGACGGTGAAGGCGCCCGGTAAAATCTGTAGGGATCATTTATTGTTAGCTTATCTGATGACAGGTGTTATAGAAACCTCATGCAGAGAAACCAAATCTTGTTTGCACGCTTTTATATGAGGTTGGCAGCGAACTTGCTTATATTGGTGGTACCTATTGTATAATTTAAATCTTGAATATTGATACTGACCATATCTGTTTAAAACAATACTATATCAACAAACAATGTATAAAAGTAGAACCTAAGGTAACACTGGTCCAGTTCTACTGGTCACTGGTCGGCTCCAGGTGGTCACTGGTCGGCTCATCAAATCTTCAAATTGTATGCTCAATTTCAAACTCAATATTCTCGAAGAATTTAAGTATTCCTACCGTTCTTCCTTTACTCCTGGTTCCCGGTTCCTTATTTTGTGTGAGTGCCATGTAATTTTCGTTATATTTTGTTTGAAACAACTATGCTTATTTTACTTCTGTAAGAATTTGGACATAGATTTAGATTACCTCAAGTTGTACCTTCTGAAGGAAAGTTCTATAAATTTATTTAAAATTTATTTTAAATCTATTTCAAATTCTATATCAAATCTATATCAAAATTCTATGTTCAATTTTAGTTTCGAACCAGATATAGGGTTTGGGCAGTTCACGCTCGCAGTTTGCCCAATACGGCAATGGATAGTTTCATCCTAACTCAAGTCTTTACACTTTTTTCACGCGCAGATAAACCTCTGGCTATTCTCACTGTCTTCTTCCGTCCAAGTTCCTACTCCTTTTACTGATTCCAACTATATTTCTAAATTTAAACCTTCATACATTGCAACCAGGAAGTTTTCACGCTGGGCATTAAAAACCTCAGGCTGGTTGCTTAGTCCAGCCTCAATTTATCTATCAGTGTGCACATACATTGCCAGTTCGACGTATGGCTGGAGCCTAATTAAATTTACATTTTCTCCTCTTAAGTATCTTCATTTTGCACCGGGACAGCTGCAGTCGACGCTCCTTGGACGCACTCTATTAATTGCCGCTTCATTGCGTCACAACCACGTCACCTGAGCACCTGAGAGCCGACCAGGAGCCATAAAATTAGCCATGCTCGCAACAGATCTACATTATAACAACAATTGAACTACTGTGCTGCTACAAGAACGGCAGTTGGCGTTTGTGTTAACGAAGCTATTAAACTTACCCTTTTGGATAATCCTATACTTTCTTTCGGATGAGCCTTGGGCTGTTTTGCCAAAATTTACTGTTCGTTCGCTCGTTAAATAAAAAAGTAAAATTCTTAGTTTGTGTAAATTCCTTACAATTAACTCAACCATTAATTGTGATACTATGTGGTACAACTTATGGTACGTAAGACATGGGAACTTACGTTATCGTCGGGTCCCACTAACGTTTTGTTGCGGTAGAACATCGCGTGGCAGTGCATAACATAAACGGGCTGGTGAGCAAATGTCCCGAAGATATCATGGATGCAATCGAACGAATCATCTTCATCATCGTCATGTTTGTTCGCAGAACTTAAATTGTACGAAAATTTTTCAGGGGTGCGATGTTCCTCATGAACCGTTTCCCCATTTATGGATGAATCTGGAAAACAGATCAAGAAAATTCATTTGAAGTTTCAGTTTTTATTATCAGCCAAAGCTTTTTTGGCTGATCAGTTCAGTTTTTGGCTGCTGGGTTCAGTTTCAGTTTAAACGATCAGCCACCAGCTTCTAGTAAATGTCATTCGTTTTATGCAAAAATTAAAAAATTCGGAGCAACGGTGCTAACGGTAGGTGCACTGCATCCTAGCTCCTTCCATGATGCGAAAGCGTCTTTTATAACGTGGCAATTCAGCCTCGTCAACCCTATAGACATTTTTATTCTCTTTCTGCCAGAATGGTGTAAACGATGATCAAATTTACATGCTGTTCGTCGCGTAAACTGATATAAATGTCATTCTGCGTTTCTCCTGTTATATCAGCTCAGGCAGGCAGGTATTTTTCATGAACTGGTGGAGCGGTGCCACTAGGAAAAACTTGAAAAACTAGAGGAGACGCAGAGTAAACAGAGAGATAAAGAAGAATATAGCAAATATAAGGAGACAAAATAGGTGCTATGCACATAATTTGGTTGTTCTTACTGTAAATTTCCAGATAAATTTAGCTACATTAAGGAAGTCAACCAGCGTTCGTTATTTACGATCGTTTACGAGTAATACAGATTTTCACATCTGAACATAAGAGCAAGAAAACAAGCCTTCATCACTGGTGTACATGAAATCTTCGTAAAGCTCACAGATGACTATCATCAGCATTGGCATTTGCCAAGCGGGACTGAAATCATTTGAAACTAATTTTCCCCTTCGTTCCAGGCATCTTACAATGCCAGATGGACAAATACATTCAATGCTTTTGAGTTGAATTGAAATCGATACTCAAATAAAATCAATTCAATACCTCTAGCGATAACCCTAGGTCTGTCTCTGAAAAGAATTCACACTATAACTTGGGCCGCTCCAGGAAGCAGTTAATTCAAGCCTCACAGGAAATAAGTAGTATATAGCTGGTGTAATGCCTGACACAGTATAAAAGCACCCGACCACATGGACATTCTCGAGCGTGCTGGCAAACGGCCATGGAAGACGCCACCGAGCCTTTAAATGCATAGCCGCAGCCGTCGCATAGCAGCCGCGCAATAGCCGCTCACTGCAGAGTTGCTCGAGACACAGCCCAGCTGATTCAAAGCCTTCATGCAATCCTAATACCGCAATTGTCCTTATACGACACCACAGTTCAACTGAAGTTATCATGCGGCCGTGGTTGGTCCCGGCACCAATATTTAACTAGGATCTCGTGCTTGTTCTAGTTCCGGAACCCCGACAGGTCATGTGGACCAGACGGCTTCCATCCCAGATTGCTCAAAGAATTAGCAACTGTTCTGGCCGGCCCATTGACAGTATTCTTTCAATAAACCTTGAACGAATGAACTTTGCCGTCCGACTGGAAAGAAGCTCAAGTAACACCATTATTCAAAAAAGGTGAAAAAAGCAGCCCCGGCAACTATTTCGCCCTGTCACTCAGACAAGTGTTGTTTGTAAGCTAATGGAATCTGTTGTGAGGGATAGGATTATCGATCACTTGCCTGCTTACCATCTATCAGATTGTCAACATGGTTTTATTGCCGGTAGATCCAGCACCACTAACTTATTATCTACGTTGAACGATTGGACTCGCCTGCTGGACGAAAGTGAGACAGTGGATGCATTGTACCTCGATTTGACAGTGTCCATGTGCGGCTGTTGCGTAAAGTGAAGTCTTGGGAATTGAGGGAAACATACTCCAATGGATCAGAGATTTTCTAGTAGGTAGACGACAACGTGTCAGTATTAACGGAGCCGTGTCAGACTGGGCATCAGTGCGAAGTGGCGTGCCACAAGGAAGCGTTCTTGTGCCTATTTTGTTTGTTGCTTTTATAAACGATTTGCCAGAAGTAGTGTCCAGCGTGTGCTTCATGTATTCCGACGACACAAAAGATAATAATACAGTGAAGGATGCGTCCAATAAAGCGCCATTGCAAGATGATCTTGACAGTTTAGTTAACTGGGCTGATACGTGGCAGCTGCGGTTTAATGCTGACAAGTGTAAAGTACATCACCTCGGGAAGAATAATGAACAGCAATATTACAGTATGAGAAGACATGGTTGCAACGAGAGAGTAATGATTGAAAAGTCTAGTGTGGAAAAAGACCTCGGAGTTTATGTCGACAAGGAGCTGAAATGTTCTAAGCATGTTGAAACGCAAGCTAACACATCCAACAAACTTCTTGGACTAATCAGACGCTCATACGAGTTCCTAGATGCAGAAACGATGAAGCAGTTGTTTGTTGCTGTCGTGCGCCCGAATCTAGAGTTTGGAAACGTTGTGTGGTCACCGAGATTTGAAAAGGACAAAAATATAATAGAAAATGTTCAAAGACGTGCAACGAGGATAATTCCAGGCTTGAAGGGCAAGTCCTATGAAGAAAGATTAAAGATTATGAACCTTCCAATCCTCAGATATCGACGTCTGCGTGGGGACCTCATAGAAGTATATAAGTATAATCATGGTTTATACAAGGTCCCCGAAGGATTACTAGAATTTGAAACGAGAACCAACACCAGGGGCCACGGCTATAAACTAAAAAAACTGCGCTGCAACTTCTTTACGCGACAACATTTCTTCTCGCTTCGAATCACTGACATATGGAACAGCCTCCCGATGACATCGTTGGCGCTCCAAGTATGAACGCGTTCAAGAACAGACTAGATAAATCTATGGAAAAATATATGTTCAGACATGAAATGCCTAGCACCATATCGAAACCGGTGGAAGTCTAATAGCTATTTCAAACTATCGTCAGTCATGAAAATCCGGTCAAATGACACGATTTTAGATCTGTAAAAGATTTCCGCCTCTCACCTTTTTTAGCAGACAAACGTGGGCCGATGAGATCAGAAGGCGCAGGGTGCCGAGCTGGAGCGTTCTGGGGAGTCAGGATCCTGACGGCGCACTCGTCGTACCGGAAAAATTTAATGAGGGCGAGCGGGCCCAGCATGCCATACAACAGCCTCTGGGGAAAAATACCTTAATTGAAATGCTGCCGAAACAGAAATTGAAGATTGAAAAGAATCGGGCGGTTAGTCCCATTAATGCGTGAACAATTTACAAAGGAATGTATATTCTTTAATTGATAATTGTAAAGAGCCTAATTACTATAATTTGCTTCGTGCATGTGAATTATTCATCGAAATTTTGTAAGAATGTTCCTCTCTAAGCTTCAGCTTCCGCTAAAATTATATTCGACCATAATAAGAAGTCTCAGTACTCAAAAGGAAATGTTATCACATCCTTACAATTAAGCTCATAATGAGAAAAGTCTTTTTTATTTGTTGCAACAGCAACCTTAAACACACTAATATCCTCTGGTGGCAAATACATGAAAGGGAACATCATGTATTCAACCGATAAGTAATAGCCAATGGAACCCTGCTCAGTGCTCATAGGTTCTACACAATGTAAAGCTCAGCAGCAGAAAGCACCGCCTGTTCTATGTATGCTCACACTCAGCACAGGAGAGAACGTGTCCGAAAGGAGCGTCAAAAACTTTTTCGGCGTCGGATGGTTGCGCTCGAAATGAAACAAAGAATTGCTCGGAAAACGAGCCATGTCATCCTGCCCAGCAGACAACACGTTAGGTAATTATTCTCGAAAACGCGTGTTGTTGTCATGTAAGAAAATATCTTACTTCGCATTTTTTCACGAATTATTGTCAACCCGAAAAGCACAACTGAAAATAAACATGTTATGACTACGAGAGGCACTACAGTAGTTTGAAAAAATAAGGGAAACACCTGAGAATTCCACAAAATATATTTCAGGGTGGTGTAGGTCTACCGTTTGCGGCAGTTACAGCCTCAATTTCCCGACGAATGGATTCAAACAAATTGTGAATGGTTTCCAATTGAATTTTAATCCATCCTTCAGTTAAAACTCCCCAAAGCAATTTTAAAGATGATGGCGGCGAGAATCGACTTCTGAGTTGCATCTCTAAAATTGACCATAAATGCTCGATAATATTCAGGTCTGGTGATTGTGTTTGCCGAATGAGCTTTTCAACTTCAATAGGATGTTCCTTGTGCCTTTTTTTAACAATTTCAGTTGTATGAATCGGGGCATTATGATCTTGAAGCTGGCTTTCCCCTCCGGAAACAGTGCTTGAAGCATTGGATGAATTTGGTCCTCGAAAATTCCTAAATAGTCACGGCTGTTGAATCTTCCATGAAGAGCAATCATTGGTCCGCCGGATTTCGAAGAAATAGCACCCCAGATAAACTAAGATCCCCCGCCAGTTTTTTTACGGCGGGGAGGAGGCAGTCGGAATTAAATACCCTTTTTGCTGTCTCCCATTTTTCTCCCTGTCTCACATTTTTCCACTGCTCGAGGGACCAATTCTGGAGGTTTTTATGCCACTCAAAACGCTTTGAACCATTTGTGTTTGAAACCACAGATTTTCTAATTGCATCTCTTCCATAGGATCCAGATCTGTGCAGTTCTCGGTGTAGGGTTTTTATGGAAACTTGGTTCTGTAGGTGTCCATTGAGGCCGGCAGTAATTTTAACAGCAATGGTTTTTCGATTATCCCCCACAATTCGATTTAGGCCCCTATTCAATGTCTCACAGACAACTTCGACTTTCTGCCAGACCTGAGCTTTGCTGAGGACGTATTTCCTTCTCTTTCAAAAGCAGTCATTATTTCTGAGACAGTACCTCTACAGACGCCAAGAATTCGCGTTGAGTTTCTGTCACACTAATAACACCTGTTCATACGAGCACCAACAATTTGGTCTCTTTGAAAGTCGGAGAGGTTGGCCATTTATAGGTTAAAGGTTAGGTTATAGAAACAAAAATCGTCTAGGATAAAATATCAATTAGCAGCAACAATAAAACAAACAAGATGTCACGTTTTCATTGTTTTTAACATGTTCAAAAATTACGATTTTAAAATCCAATTTACAGATTAATAGACGGGAAAAACATGAACGATACAACTTTTTTTTATCGCGAACACAAGTTGATTTATAAGGAATTTTTGCATATATCTCTATTTTCAATTGCATTTTTACTACAAACTAAAGATTGCCCAAAGACCTTCGGAGTTGAGGATCGCATGAAAAGATGTGTTGCGCATGACTGTGCGTACGTTCACATGCGCCACGCACAGACGAGGACAAATTTTCTGCAGACTCAGCAATCTTTGGGCAGACGAAGCATCAAGCGTCGCGCGCGTCAACAGAAACCAAACGTGAGCGTCCGAGTTGATGGAGCACATGCTGGATGGTAGGAATATTTTAGGGGACAAATAAACCGCGAGTTTAGCATCGAAAATCTGATTCTTTAGTTTAATGGCGAAAACGAGTGACGAAAATAATAAATAAAATATTGACATCTCGGACGTGTAACCCCGAGTGAATAATATGGAACAACTGCCAAATTTTAGATGAAAGTTTGAAACTCAATGTGACACGTAGCTACTGATTAAGCATATTTCTCAGACAGAATAATCTGCAACGATGTTGTATTCCCTGGAATAATTTCATTCATTTTTATTGTATTAACAATCGACATACCTTTCAATGGAACAAAGAACTTTATGCTTTATTTTCATGTTCATTGACACTTATATCTGGACATACCTTTCAATGGAACAAAGAACTTTATGCGTTATTTTCATGTTCATTGACACTTCTATCTGGACATACCTTTCAATGGAACAAAGAATTTTATGCGTTATTTTCATGTTCATTGACACTTCTATCTGGTAGATATTTTGTGCAGATGGATCTGGAGCTACGTCCCTGAAAAAGATATATAATAACATTAACGAATTGAATTTAAATAAAAATTTGTGTGGCACATGTTTAAGGTGCTTTATATAATGGATTATGAGTGTCAACCCGTCTTGCCTAAAACCTCATAGCCGTAGTATATACGGGGTAAATAATAATGAAATGTAAGATTAACCTCAAAATTCTAATATATTAGCATAATTTGCACTTGCGACTTCAGATTGAGTTACGTGTTTAGATTGAGTTACGAGTAACAGTGGACGTAGGAGACGAAATTCAAGTATAATAACAAACAGAGCAAAAAATTTGCGAATCCAATCACTCTGATGTGAAGATGAGGTACTCTAAAAAAATTGATTAAAGTTGGAATAACGACTGCTAGTTAGGATGTAATTTGTGATAGAATGCGAATAGCAAGATATAGAATAGCAAGACGGCGAATCGGTTGTTCCTGTTGATGGGGAAAAGCTTTGGGACGTTTAGGGTAAAATCCTAAGCGAAGCTACGTTTCGGGTTGAGTTGCGTAGGGCGGCGTACCGCTAAAGCCAATCCCGTGGCCACCAGCCGAGTGAGAGCGCGCGGTACTTGTCTCTGTTTGGTGACGCGATCAGACTAAGGTCGGAGGAGTGTTGTAACGTGGAGGGATTTGTAGAGTGAACCGATTACCCCGAGGATTGAAAACCACTCTACGAGATCTGACAACGTTGGATTATTCGACGAGTGAACCGATTACCCCGAGAATTGACACTCCTACACACGACGTTTCTTCAAAAATTAGAGAGAAATCCGACGCCCTTCAGAGAAACTTCTATACAATGAGTTTCTAGACTACCCCAACATTTCCGATCTCAGCCGGCTACGAAGCTAGTTACGAATTTGACTTCCCTGGAGTCGAGAGTCACGTCAGCGCAGCCGCGTCAAGAAATATCATCGAGGGGAGGCTAGTCACGATCTGCGAAGGCCTCGCAAGACTGTCCGGAACTTAATTGCTGCACTGCCACCTCCCAAAGCCCGGTGATGTACCCGTTAGGAATTTAATGGAGGCAGAGCTATTATTTAAATTGAGATTTGTGTCTAATTCTAATTATTAGGTCTGTGCCAGTGTCCGAGTCACTTTTACCGTCTCTTTCGTGTAGTAGATGTCGTTCGTTATCAGTGATCCAGCTCTGTAATAAGTGTATGATTTTTTCCGTAATATAGGAAGTTTAAATCTTTCGATGTGTTGTCATTTTCTTCCTTTTGTCAACTCCTACTCTCCACTCGCCAGTTCGAGAAGCTCGTAAAGTGCCACTATAGCCACTGCGGTCAAACCAACCTGATAAATCCAGCGAGTTACTCAAGAGAAAAGGTCGAAATAATAACATCAAATAATGCACCTCATCTTAACAACTCTCTAACGTTAATCAAATGGAATAGTAAAAAAAATCAATCATCACAAATGTTTTTCCCTACAAAGATCCTTGAGAATGAGTTCATTTGCTTTCACCTAATCTCCACACAATTCACTATAACATCGCTCAACAAGAGAGCGTTGTTACGAGTTACAATTATTTGTACAAATGAAGAAGTTATCGTATATACAATATCTGTTTGCATATCACCTCAGGCCAGAGATCAATAAGATCTGTATGTTTATGTAGGTATAATTCATTAGACAATTACGTGTACAAATGAGGAAGAGACCGAAGCTGGGGGTCGTTGACCCCCGGGTGACATCCAAGCTTCGGGGGCGTCGTGGGCGCTGTATCGGCCACGGCGCCGTAACCGTAGGCTTCTCTCCGCCTCCTTATTTCTTCAGCTGGCACCTGAACCTCTGTGGATATGTGATTAGGGATAACATCGGTTAATTTGAACTTCACTCTATATCGAACAGTTTATAAAATAGTTTATTTTTATTGCTTGACTTAAGTTATTACTTAGTATCTAGAATTGTTTTTATTATGATTGTACCTTGGTGTTATTTCACTTTCCTGTTTGATTACCTCGATAATTGGAGTAAATCACCGCCATGAAGATGCCGAACGCCATAAAAAATAGCTGCGATGAGGTCACTGGAAAATCGATTAATTTTAATGTTTAATTTAATTTATTAATTACACGGTAATGATTTATTGAAATTATCATGTTACTTAACCTCATCAAACCTTAGCAAGCAGTGCGCGATCAATCACAAGCTCCTAGTTAACTGAAACGTTCCTCAGTTTGCTATCTCGCTTAGACTTGTACCTCTCATGGAATAGTGCACTTTCAGTTTATACAGTGCATCATCATTGTGAAAATTTTCGTTTGGCAAATGGACTTCAGGGTAGAAATGGCGACGATGTCCCAAGCAAACGCAACCAAAATGGCTGCATATTGTGCGGGGTTTGAAAGCCCGTTGATTGAACTCAAATAAATTATTTCAATTAAATTATTCTCATTTGTGACGCAAATAATTGATTTTGAATTACGTTGTTCATGCGAAGCTATCAGTCCCGTCGAAGGCTGAAAAAATATTAATATGAGTTTTTGTTCCCTTTGGTTTCACTGGAAAGCATTGACCGACCGCATGCATTTCGTATCCGCGTGAAATTCAATCGTGTTTATTCGTACCGCGTAACTCGTGCTTGAATGACTTTAATTTGGTCTTTTTCTTCTATTAATTCAACCACGCCACAGTCAATAAAAAATTAAGAAGTGTAATTATCAAAGTGAAACATTTACAAGAATAGGACACGACATTCTATGTACGATACTCTGGTGTGAGTAGCCGATGTACGGAATAAAAGTTACACTGACTATGTGAATAGTTGCACTGCATGAGAGAGAAATCTGTACACTGAAACTTGTGAAAGGCACGTAAACGCCTGTAGAAAAGCTAAGGTAAATTAAAAGTAATAAAATAAGTTATAAAGGAATGCACAATTGTTCCTTACCATCAAACTGTGACTTCCTCTTAGATTCGCACATCTTGCCCCACGGCTGACGAGAGGCTTTAAATCAAACAAGGGACCTAGAAGCGCGGCTCCGCTGCGAAGTTCCTATTACCGGGAGTGAACTTCTGATGGCTGCATATAGTCTGTGTATAGTCACGCCAGGCTTAATCCTTTAAAACTTTTTGTTATGCCATAAAATATAAATTTTACGATGTATCTTCATCATATAATATGCCTGGAATGTAGGAGACCAGCAATTATTCTCAATAATCTAAATTTTTACTTGTCTTGTCGATGAGTAAGGTAAATACCTTCACGCAAAGGGGTGAGGGGCAAAATATTCCATTACATACGTCACTTTTTAGCTTCACTATTCGGTATGCAGGATCGCACATGTCAAACGGTGTGTTGCCCTCATGTCGTCAAGAATTGTTTCTGTTTTAACAACTAAACGTTATATTCAAACGTAATACGATGCCTTCACCGTTTTTTTTTCGTTTCAATGTTAGACGAGCACCAAATTAAACACTTTCATGTTGTTTTTATTGCTCATCCAGGTAGCGGTGACTATGAGAGAGAGCAATATAGTATAGGTAAGTTTTTCAGGGCGCTCAGGCCACAGGTAGCTCTACACAGGTACATAGCTCGCTGGCTGATCCAGAACATTTTACTTGCATTACACAACACGCTGGTCCAGCCAGGTGATCATTTATACACCGGAAAAGGATGAATGACTGAGTTGGCAATGAGCTGAGCTACCCGCAAAAATTTGTCCTGCGTGGGACTATAAACCCGGGGTCGCAGGGTGTGATAGAAAGTCACCACCACTGCACCATCTCAGCTTCAAAACTTTTCATAGTCACTAGTGCCTGAAACAATTACTTTGATACATACTACTTATAATTGCTGACTTATATACGTCAATTTTATTCCCGATTTGCTGTGCGCTGGTAAATATTGCAAAGAAGTTCAAGGACTATCATTACTAAAACATTGATACCATCTCACAACTATTTCAACCATTAATTATTATAGTTACTTAGCACATTCCTAATATTTGAACTATATAATTATATAATTAGCATTTTAAATGACAAATAATGTGTGAAACTTAAGGACGATGTACAGAGTTGATTGAAACATGATGACATGAACTAGTCATCAGTGATGGCCATCACCAAATCCATAGCCTCACACACAAAAAATTATAAAAAGAAATAGACAAATAAGTTATAAATCAATTAATACGAAGAGGTGATTCTTTTTCAATTTTGAAACCACTGAACAAGAATGCCATCGATGGTCGCAAATATCATCGTTTCAGATTTTATTGTATGATTTCATGCGTGATGTGTGATTAAAGAAAGCTCTGGGAACTCTAAAGATTTCTAAGATGTTATTCGGTATAATATTTCAGTACGTGTCGCTTAAAAACAGTTTTAAATGAAGTATTCCCGAATGCTGACTGAAGACAGAATAGCGTTATATGCGAAACTGGTTCACTTGGAAATAATTTTCATTCATTCAATCTAGCTTACAGATTCAGAAAAAATACAGTCTGGAAAGTTCTTCGTGCGTGCATAATCCATTCCCGGGTGGTACCCACGGGTATTCCAATATTTTCTCTCATGGACAAAGCAAACTAATGAGTACTTCTAGGTTCACTAGCTGAATCACGAAAACGGAAGTCACGATATAATAAGAATGTTTAATTCTTTATCACTTTCAGGGAAGTTGAACCATTGAGCAATTTGGTCACAAACATATTTTCATCAAACTTAATTTGCAATTAATTTTATCGATATCAAAACTCCCACCTAATTCTCATAATAAATTAATACTAAATGCATTGTAGGTGAAATTATTAGCATGTCTTCTTGGCGCTGTACGCCGGTGCGTCGAGGACAGTTCTTTTCAAGACCATGGTTCCGTAATCCCGTTCCCTAGTACCTGGAAAAGATAAGGTTAATAAAAAATTATTTCGTCACTAATAACAAGTATGTACACATCAGTCTTTAATTTCGTTAATGCTATACATGTGGATTGCGATCGTTCATTCTGATTCATCCGTTATTGGACCATTATGATGTAGGTTTCAACCCAGTGCACAAGGAATGACATGTGGATCATTGTCGACCTGTACAGTTTCACAGAAACTCTGAGTGATCAGCGATGATAAATGCTGAGATCGCTTGCTTGATGTTTGGAGATCAATTTCAGCCACTGAATAGTTGGGTCGAGCTTGATTGCGGTCTTTATATCGTTGTGCTTATTTCTAATAAGATGAGTTATTACTACTGCTGTCTTTTCAACCAAAATCATAAGTTGAACCGTAATCACGAATCAAGTGAGGAAGTTGACGGCTATCATGAGTATCTCACGAATTAATCTCAATTCTTTCGAGATTTCTCTTATATATTTATTATTCACGTATAAATGAGAGCTTAGCCGGACGGACGATTATATTGCAGCTTGATCAAAATTTAAATTATGTTAACGTGTCCCACCTTTCCCCACAGAGTTGACCCCTCGACCGATGGCATACGCGCACCAGACGATGAGCGTCAATAGCGACAGAACGAAAGCCAAGCGTCGGCCGGTCATAGACTGGACTTCGTGAGAATAGAAATTGTGGCAAGAAAACGCACGTGCAAGCGCCCTGATGAAATAAAATTTAGCATTATTGAAACTCCTTTAATTTAGCATCGGCTTAAAAATGTTTAAACGTTTAAGTGGATCACTCTCAAATACTACGAATCCGATGATAGAAAGTCTACGCCTGAGGTGGCTTTCATATTACAAATTGTTTTTTCTTCATCAATTTTGGTGGAATGATTTTTGGTATTGTTTCTTGAATTATTGGTTTATAAGGTTGTTCCCTGATATTATTTGTACTAGTAAATGAGCACCTAAATAACCATGCGAGGTCCTTTCGTTTTCTCTCTCCTGAAGTGAGCGAAAATAAAAACAATACTGAAGTATTCTAATAATTTCTTATTAAAACAATAAAGAATCTTTTGATATGATAACCATTCTTTGGAAAGACTGAAAAATGAAATTTTGACTATCTTGTTTCTCCAACAAGCTTATAGAAGCGCAACACTTAGGCTCTGTTCCTGCGACTTCAAATTTCATTAATTCAATTATTTTCAGGATAATTTATAATTATAATAATAATAGCGGTTTCGGCGTTCAGTATGCCGTAGGCATATCGCCGATTCTGAACATCGCAGAAAATTCACAGCTTATTCACAGCTGCTGTGCTTAACCGCCCGGCCTCCTTGCCGATTCTGACCAGAAACTGGCGCACAAAGCTGGGATCGAACCCGCGCCTCTCTGCTCCAATCCTGGTACTCTGAACTGTAACCATTGGGCCACCCAGTGGTTACAAGATTAATTTAATTAACTTAATTTTTAGAAGATTAAATTTCAGAGACTTGCTTGTCTCTGAAAGATTTCAAGATAGGCATTTCGTCTCAGCCAGCCAAGCCAGCAGACATGTTGTGGAAAATGAGAACATATTTCACTTCATGAGAACCTACCATGCGATGTACGCGTGGAACACGGCGGCACAGGAAGAGAATCCGATCCATTTGGGAGGAAAGGAGCGTGGGACCAGCGTCACTTCAGCTGCCACTGCCACTAGTGGAACAGTGTGCACGCTGTGGAACTTGAAGTCTGAGATGATGGCATCGAAAACTTCAGGGTAAATCAGTTCCCGAAAAATCGTGTACTTGATCCAGAAAGGCAGAAACAAGCTCTGAAAAACAGGATAAAATAAACAAGAACGTTATGTTTATTTATAGACTGATATTGATCACTTTTATTTTTCATTCTTTCATAATCATCGATCACTTTTACATAAATTTTTCATGCAAGCCTAACATTATTCCCTTTCGTTAGTCTTTCCATTTAAATTGTTCAGTTTTGCTCACCAGCGCTGAGGGGAAGACTATTAATGTGAAGACTTTACTGAGCAGCTCGTGTGAGGGAACACACCGCAGCAAAGTTCCTGAAGTGATGTTGCAGTTGCGCAGCAGACGCGCCGTCAGGTAACTCATCTCATGCATTCCTAGAAATTAGTCAATAAACGGCGATCAAATTTTCGTTTTATTGAAACATGCTTAGAAGAGAAACACTTAAAATTATTAAATACCACTTAACACTTAAATACTAAATTATACATTGAAACACTTAGAATTATTAAATACCCATGCCATGGTAACTCAGGTGCTACACCTGTGAATAATGAACGCAAACAATTTTAATTAAAAGCGTCATGAAATTTTCAACAGCCGTTGAATAAAATAACCAAGCGATTATGATGATTTGTTCTAAATTTCAGAAACTCTACGTAAAAATTACAGAAGCTTTTTTTACCAATCAAACTTTCTCACTTCCTCTCGATCCATGAAATTATATTTTTTCAGCACAATCATTTGGAAATCAAAAATTTCGAAGAATATATATATATATATACATTATTCCAATAAATATATTCTGATAATTTTTGAACAAGCTCAGCTCAACCTGCCACAAACTCACTACCCTTATTGCATGTTATTAAACATTGTTGTCATGGACATTCGTTTCCATCATATGGTGAGGCAATTGTCAATTGTTGATTGTGAAATTATTGAATCTATTAAAAAAATAATTCGCCGTAACTTGTTTCCTCATTTAGACTAAACAGGTCAACTTCTGATCCGGCCGCAAGCGCTATCATCAAAAGCTTCGCGTTAGGAAGAGCTTGCGTAAACTGTGAGGGCTTTTACTGCACGGAAAGAAATGAATTGCGACCACTTCTGAATCAGACTATGAAATGTTCGGTCAGGTCGCATAACTCATGGCATTAAGCAGCAACGATGCTTTAAATGGGCATGACTGGGGGAAAAAGCATGCCCATGGGGGGAAAAGCATAAAGGCATTAAGCAGCAACGATGATTTGAATGGGCATAACTAAAGGCATTGAGCAGCAATGGGGGATTTGATTGGGCTTGACTAAAGGCATTGAGCAGCAGTGGGGGATTTGATTGGGGATTACTAAAGGCACTGAGCAGCAATGGGGGATTTGATTGGGCATGAATAAAGGCATTGAGCAGCAATGGGGGATTCGATTGGGCATGACTAAAGGCATTGAGCAGCAATGGGGGAATTGATTGGGCATGACTAAAGGCATTGAGCAGCAGTGGGGAATTTGATTGGGGATGACTAAAGGCATTGAGCAGCAATGGGGGACTTGATTGGACATGAATAAAGGCATTGAGCAGCAAAGGGGGATTTGATTGGGCATGACTAAAGGCATTGAGCAGCAATAGGGGATTTGATTGGGCATGACTAAAGGCATTGAGCAGCAGTGGGGGATTTGATTGGGCATGACTCCCGGCATTGAACCGCAAAGGGGGATTTGATTGGGCATGACTAGAGGCATTGAGCAGCAATGGGGGATTTGATTGGGCATGACTAATATGGCATTGAGCAGCAATGGGGGACTTGATTGGGCATGACTAAAGGCATTGAGCAGCAAAGGGGGACTTGATTGGGCATGACTAAAGGCATTGAGTAGCAAAGAGGGACTTGATTGGCATGACTAAAGGCATTGAGCAGCAAAGGGGGATTTGATTGGGCATGACTAAAGGCATTGAGCAGCAGTGGGGGATTTGATGTAAACGGACGTTTGCTCAACAGCGCCGTGTGTAGGGAAGGCCTTCGGATGGCTGAGATAAAAGCAGCAAATACCGATGGCGTAAACGATGACGAACGCCGCTTGAGTGACGAGTATGAACAGGTTTTGCATTTTTTATGACCTAATTATAGAAATGAAGCAAAATTTCACAAGACAAAATAGTGCCTGTAGGTAAAGAAAACTAGTGACCAAACATGAAAACGTATCAAAATGTTTAAGGAAAAACAGATTTTGTCATATGTATCAATAGTAATAATTGGTGTAATTCGGCAGAAGCTTTTCTTTTATGCAAGTTTGATTAAAGACCAGAGCATGCTATTTATTAATAATCTTCTTGTTCGTTTGTTTTAAATTAGTCGAACAAAATTTCTTGCTGGCGCCGGGAGATCAAAAAGCAGGTTGTCAAATGACATTTTAATGGATTGCGACGTTTCGAAAATACAATTTTCATTATCAAGCAGGTGAAAGTTTTGCAACACTTGAAATTGAACTTTCGAAATGACAGTAGCACATATCATGGGTATTGTGGATACAATTTGAAATTTAAGCTTAAAATTACTATGAAAATAGTTTCAGCGTCCGGACAAATCCGGTAGTTTGGAGGTTGATAGCTGGAGACTCGCTCTTGATAATGAGGGCCTCAGCTATCGCCAGTCTCGATGGGTCAGGGCACCGCATAACTATGCTGGTGCAGGCCTCCAATGTCGCTCGGGTGATTATCTCATTGTGAGCCTCCCGCATGTGGTTCTTAGGTCCTCCAGATTGTAGGTGGCATGTGAGTCGTCAGCTTAAGGTCTTGCTAGCAATGGGAATAATGATAATCCCTGTAAAAAATCTAGACTGCTTCAAGAAACTAATGTTGTTCATAAATTCTCCTGTAATAAAGAAGGTTGTAGACTTCTTCAAAATATAAACTACATTGGTCTTACTAGCGACATTTGAGGTCTGCACCAGCATAGTTATGTGGTGCCCTGACCTATCGAGATTGACGAAAGCGGAGGTCTTCATTACCAAGAGCGAGTCTCCAGCTATCAACCTCCAGACTACACGATTTGTCCGGACGCTGAAATTATTTTCAGAGTAATTTTAAGCTAATATGTTAAATTGTATCCACTATACCATTGATATATACTACTGTCCTTTCCAAAGTTCAATTTCAAGTGTTGTAAAAATTTCATCTGCTTGATAATGAAAATTGTATTTTAGGAATCCATTAAAATGTCATTTGGTAACCTGCTTTTTGAACTCCCGGCGCCAGCAAGAAATTTGGTTCGACTAATTGAAAAAACTAATAAGAAGATTATTAATAAAAAGCATGCTCTGGTCTTTAATGAAACTTGCATAATAGTAAGAATTTTGAATTCATTTTCAGATTCAGATTTGAACATATTTGATCGATTTGTATACTCCGTCAGACTCATTAAAATTATGCACTAAATTCCACCCAAGACGAAGGCTAAACTTTAACTTATATGCATGAAATATGCAAATAAAGAATAATTGATTCCTTTTCAATTTGCTCACCCAGGAATAAACCAAGACTGTTTATTTCCCGCTTAATTGTTATAATCGAACCATTATTCTGCCCATTCGTTACGGAGGAAATACTTGTAGATTAGGCTTTTGGCGTGAGTGGGACTAAATAATGATTGTAATTAAAAATTTTGTAGAATTCGATTGAGGAATATATTGAACTTTTAACATAACATCGTATCAATAACTTCCAAGTTCTTCACATTTTTTCCAGTCTCCAATCAAAACGTAAATTTTCTTTCCCACTTTCGAATTAAATCCAAAACTTCCATACGAACCATTCGAAATGAAGTCGCAATCACGGCAGTTGGAAATATTGTCCCAGTAACTTAAGCTCCTAATACTCAGTTCATGCTTCCAAAGTCCTGAAAATACGCAGTTCATAGGTACTACTTAGTTTCCTTACTATTTTGTCTACTAGCACAATAACTAAGGCAACAGTAAATGAAACGGTAAGAACACAAACAGAATACTTAATCAAATGGTATTAACACTGCCATGGCTGAATTAAGTGGCCCGAGAGCGGCGCACAGGAAGAGGTAGCGCTGCTTGCTTGCAAGTGTCCAGAGCGCAGCGATCGCGGCCTTGTTTGCCTTATTTGTGTGCCAAGAAACGAGTTCTTGCGCGCGTTGTGTTTTTGCTTGCAAAACTTATATAGCCTGTCTCACTGTTCCATGGCAGACCCTGGCTATATTCAAATCATTTATCATTAATTCTTGCACTTAGAAACAACAAAAATTATTCTTCAAACATTTATCAGTTGCTTGTAGCTAGATGACTTGAAATCACCCGAAATTAAAATGTACATGTTATGTTTAAAACACGAGAAACAAATTCGGTTGCAGACAATAAATAGAAAATAAACACATGTGACATCAATTACTTTTTCCGGATTATCTGTTAAGCCATTGGAACAAAAATTACAAATTAAGTTTCGATTTCTCGACCGATACGCTGGAATAAATTGAATAAGTACAAGTGAACACCTTGAGGTCTGCAGTTAAATCGTGCAAGTTTGTAGAATGAGCGTTTAGAAGCTCCTGCCAAGGGCGTTATTATGGTATGCTTAAGCCCTAGGATTGTTTTTCAATTAAAAGTTTTAGTTCTATGGAGAAGAGCGGGGACCCAGGGACAAGTAAGTATTTTCCACCTTTACGTATTGCCTTGCACACGTTCCAGTTCCTTGCACACAATTTCATAAAAGCGATTGCTTTTATGTGCAACAAGTTACATAATATTTAACATAATTAAGTGTACAAAGTTTCAGAGAGATCGGTCCATTAATAAAAAAGCTAGTTTTTTAAGAAGATCCTCCCCTTAAGGAACTTACAATGATTGTTGAATCGCTAGAAATTACGAATGTTTCGCTAGCTTTGTTTGAAGGTTTATTTTAATTTTGGATTGAACTAATTAAATTATTCTTGCATGTCGCATTGCCGCCTTCAGCTTCCGTGGCAAGACAAGTTCTGAGTTAGATGGTGAGTGTGAAAAAATGTTCACAAAAGTCATGATCATTCTTTAATGCGAATCCGAAATTTTGAATCGTTTTCCTATGACAAGATTTTATCCCCAATACTTGATCGTTATTCCATCAGTCTCTTTAAACGTTGCAATAATGCGGGAGAGCTATCAACATATATGTATGTACAGGCTATCGCCGTCTATTTCAGACTCGACAGTGATAAAACTTAAAAAATTAGGTAAAATGAAAAAAGGAATTTTTAAAAGTGGTTCTTGAATCTTTATTACACAAGTTCCCACTCGTACGCGGTTATAAAACTCAGTGAAACTAAATAAAACCTATATATATAACAGAACCCATATAACCTACCTAC